TCGGATCACCCAGCTGGACGCAGCTGAAGAACATGATCTGCACATTATCGTAGGCTTGCTCGTGGACAAAGGCGAACTCCACGAGACCGTCCGTGCCCTTCTTGATTTCCTTCATGACTAGACCGACGGCAGTAGCACGGGGCCAAGTCTCCTTGCCCTGAATAAAGACGTTGCGCCGCAGTGATATCTCAGGGAGCTTCTTGCGCGGGTCGCCTCGGAGAGCAGTCTCGAGGTCCACGCCCTGATTCGTGTGTCGCTGCGCTCTTCGTGCCGCCTCCAGCTCAGCCCTCTCCTCTTCCTGCGCCGTCTGAATAGCTTCCTTTCCGAACAGCGCGCGCATTTCGTTGATAGCTCGGAGGTACTGGGTGTTGATCTGCAAAAGCTCGTCGACGTCGCGGCTCCGCTGCGCAAGGTTGGCCGCGGCGTTCGACTCGTCCTTGCGCGCAGCGCTGAGCTCCTCAAGCGCCCGGTCAATCTCGTCATCCTTCTCATCTTCCGACTCGTCCTTGCTCTGCGCTGCCTGTTTCTTGGCCTTCTTCTTCTTTTTCTTGTTCTTCTTCTTTGCTGGCTGCGGGACGGGTTCGGGTTCGGGCTCAACCTTCGCCTCCTCCTGAGCATTGTCGGGTTTTTCATCCTCATCATCGTCGTCGTCGTCATCGTCGTCGCCGCCTAGGGCTGCGAACAAGCTCTGGCGGGGCTTGATAGGCGCGGGTTCAGGCTCGTCATCTTCGCTGGACTCTTCGGCCGCCTTCGTCTCCTGGAGCTGTTCGAGCTCTCGCTGCTTCTGCAGCTTGCGAAGCTGACGGCTCGACATTTTGACGGGTTTGTAGAAATTTTCGTGCTTGATTTTGTGCAATTGAGGCAAATGCGACGAATGGTATGGAAGTCGAGGAGAAAGATTTGTGCTGGCGGAAAGGCTGCTTGCCGTAATGCGTCACGCCGAAGTGCCAACATGACGTGTGGCGGGGTTAGGCGGGGCAGAAAATTGGCCTACCTACCTTACACACATCTCAAGGTAGGCTGCAAACTCTTGTGAGGCAAAACCAGGTGAACCTCGACTCAACCATACATTTCGGCCAGTAGCATTGCACGAAATTGGGGGACGCACAATGGATCGTCCAAATAAATCGCACTGACGACTTCATCCTCACTGCATCTCCTCGTTGTGAGTCGTTGATTATGAAATTGTGCATAGACCTTCAGGGCGAGGCAACGCCTAGCATCACGAGAGAAACTGTTATCCAAGCACGGTGTGGCATTTCTCAATGGCGGCGACTAACAGTCTTTGTATTTTCTGCAAACGAGGCTTAAACTCCGCCTCTCTTGCTTGTTGCCTGTTTCTAGGAGTGCCACCAAAAAAAACTTGCCGCTTTTCCGTTTCGTCATTCCATGTCGCATGGATCTCTCCCTCGTTCTTTTCCTAGAACTTAATGCTTGCCACCACGCCTGAAATCCCTTTTGTCGTCATTCGCAATCATGAGACCGCAGCTCTTGCGGCTACCACTTGCCAAACTCCAGCCGATCCCATGCGTATCAAAATAGCAGTCCTATGATTCCTGCCCTTCTGGCCAAACCAATAAGGGACTTGCCAGCCCAGTGCTCCCGTCGCCAACGGAATCCGAGAAAACCCGATAATCGAGGGAGTGATAATACATCATAGAAAGTGTTGTGAAAGGAACTCCTTTCAGTATCTCCATGCAAAACTGAATGATGTCCATAGAAATCATGAACTTTTCTTCGTCGAGTCTGTGGTTTTCACTCGGCGAAGCCACGCGATCTGACCGTAGACATCCGAGTCGCATACTGCTCCTAGTTCGCAGCCGGAGGGGTGGCACCTTGGCCGCCACGGCCGCGGAATCCACCTCTTGTACCACGACCAGCATAGCCACGGCCTCGGCCACGACCTCTGCCACGGTAGCCTCGGTATCCACCGTCAACGCTGCCCTGGCCGAAGGTTTCCATATTCTTGCGTTGCTCCTCGCCGCGCCATTCACGACCACCCGGCTTCTGGCCGTTGTTCTCGGCGCGGTCTTTGGCTTCGCTAGAAATGTTGTCGAAGAATGACCGCGTCTTGTTGTATGCAATCGGCGGGTTAGCACCAGTCGTCTCGACAGCGGGCGCCTCGGGCGCAGCTCCGTTGGTTGGGGTCTCGCCCAGAGGAGAGCCGGCGATGGCTTCCTTGACCAAGTCGTCCTTGTTAAACTTGGCGTTGGCTTGAGCAAAGTCGAAATCCGCATCGGGGACGTCGACCTTGGCCTGGCCCTGTCCCTGTCGCCCGCCACGGCCACGGCCACGTCCACCTGCGGGCGTAGTCCGAGCAGCATTGACTCTCATTTCGTTGACCTTCTTAGTGAGGTTATCCATGGCGTTGCCGTTGCCCTGAGGGGGCGGGGCGGAGACGGCAGCGGCGCCAGCATTCATGTTGGCCATAGCGAGAGCAACGGCAGCCTTTGCGGCCTCGGTGGCATCTCTCACAGTCGCAGCCGTTGGTGCAGCGGCGGCTTTGGGCGCAGACTGAGCAGCGGTGTTCTCGTTAATAGGAACAGGGAAGGCCTTGGGCATGGACGCAGCCAGAGGAATGGCAGGCTGAACACGCGCAGGGTTCTTAGGTCCCGTCGGCACAGGCAACTCAACAGGCTTGGAAGGGCCAGCTGCGTTCAAAGAAGCAGCCGTTGCCTTGACCTCGGCAACCGAAGGCTTCGACTCGACTGGCGGTGTGGGTGCAGGGGCCTGCTGGAGGCCAGGCGGAGGAGCCGCCTTGGGCTCACTCGGAGCTCCCTGTGCCGCCGGGGTAGCGGGCTTCTGCTTGTCACCAGCAGCGCCGATCGGGGTAGGCTTCGCCTCCTGGGCGCCGGGCGCACCGCGGTTCTCGGGGACCTGGCCGGGCGCACCACCGGGGCCTTGAGGGCCAGGAGGACCACGAGGGCCGGGGGGTCCAGGAGGGTAGTTGTAGTTGTTCCACCCATCAGGTCCGGGAGGGAAACCTTGGCCGGGAGGACCAGGAGGAAACCAGCCTGGAGGAGGAGGGTAAGGCATGCCGCCCATGCCAGCGCCAGGCACACCAGGGCCGCCGCGCCCAGGGGCAGGTCCCCATGGCCCAGGAGGCGGGTAGAAGTTGTTCTGGAAAGGAGGCTGACCGAAGCCAGGTGCCGGCGGCGGTTGGTTGGATCCTTGTCCAGGACGAGGGCGAGCCTGAGTTTGGAACATGTCAGCTATGTCCAGAGACGAAAGGCATGTGCATATTCCAAGACAGGGTAGAGCCGTGAGTCAGAAGGAAGGCAACGGAAATTTCGACATCGTTTTTGCGCTTTTCCGACGAGACGATAATTTTTACATCCGCAATACTTCATCATACAGGCGTTGTCAAGGAGGGTGGGCAAGAAGGACAAAACTTACGTTGACAATAGCCGGGTCCTCGGGCATAGCAGGAGGCTTGTTCTCCTTGATAGCCGGGTGGTCCTCGATCCTCAAGTCCTTGACATCGCTGCCGCGGAAGATGATGTAGTCGTAAACCTGATCGGAAGGTGCTATCTCTTCTTCGGGTCTACTCCTTCGACCCTCGGTGCCGAAAGAGCGGACATTTTCGAGCGAGACGGTGGACTCGTCCGAGTTGATCTCGTGCAGAACGCCGACATATCTAGAGGTGATGAGCAAGGGGACTGGGGAGCAACGTGGACGTCCACCAAGTCCTTACCGAATGTCGCTTTTGGAGATGAGGGAGATGCGAGATCTAAGAGAAAGGAAGTTAGCGAAATAAGTGAGATTGCGCGCATTTAAAGACGCGATGGGAGTGGATCGGGGGCGTGGTGGACAGGTCTCCGTACCCTAAGAATTCTGACATCTCGGCTGTGGGAGGGGTCGCGTAAAGCACGCAACGAAGCTGGTAGTTGCGACTGCGGAACGATGGAAATAGAAAAATGAAATCAAGTTGCGATTGATGCGCTGCTGGGTAGAATGAGGAAAAAATACAACGCGAGAGGAGGATGCGCAATGGTATGGGGGGATGGAATCGGGGGGGTGGGAGTGGTGTCGAGAGGAGTGAAGAGGCAGGAGAGCGAGTAGGGGAGGTTTATTTGTGTGGAGGAAAGATTTGACCAGGACGGACCACTGAGCTGTGAAAGAAGCCTGGACGTGGAGTTTGAAAGGACAGAGAAAGCGAGAGGCTGAGGTCTCCACCCCTCACCCGACCGCATTTGGACGGAGCGCTCCCACTGGCTGCTGCCCGTCTGGTGTGAGGGTCCGGCTGAACTCTGGATCAATACCTTACTTGCTTGAGCTCACAGCTCCTGCACCTTGGCTGAGTGCGGGGAGAGCTTGCCAGCTTCGGATTACCTCACCTCACTTTGTATTGAAGCTTGTTTGAGGACATTGATGTCTACGTCGGTCTTTTGTCTACGTGTCTTTGATAAAGCTAAGGCGCGCTGCTTTAAAACAGACAAATGCCGGAGGCCACCTCACCATAAAGCTAAAGGCTCTTCCAATTGCGCTGACTTTGCACTCATGCCAAGTTTGCTAAGTGCGCCTCTTGTTTGAGGCAATTCTCGGCCTGACTTAAATTCAACTTCCCTCTCTCAACCCACACCAGCACGTCAGTAGAAGAGGATCAGCAATTGTCATCAACCACTCAAAACCGAGGGAAATGTTTCTCTCATTGCTACGTCGCTAGGATTCCGATATAAGCTGACCCTGAGCTCAATAATGTTGCAAAACCGTACTCCCTGGGCCATCCAACCGGCCACTCACAATCAAACCGTTCTCGCTCTGTGGCGCTGATACGCCTATTCCGGGATGCTCTGTAAAGCATATAGCCGCTTCTTTTTGCTGAGATGCTGCTGGTAACGCCGCTTCTTTTTGATTAGATGTTGCTGGTGAAGCTGCTGCCAGTCAAGCCAAGCATCGTAAGAATTCTGTTCGTGTCCAACGGTAAGTTGCCAAAGCATGGCTCCTCGCCCATCAACCAGGTACCATCCATGTTCCTCCCATCCCCCTCTTACATGTTCCTAAACATATCTCTCAGTGTTCTTCTCGTCGCCCGCGTCGATCAAGTCCTTGATCAGCTCTTGGCACCGCTCAGAAAGCTCTTCGAGTCTGATCTGCTGATCATCTGAGGCCGCCGCGTCCTTGTGTACGCCGTTTGATTTTCTTGAGTCTATCGGCTGAAACTCGTTTATTTGGTCTGGGGGAAGAATTTGCTTCTTTCCTTGCTCGTTCCTCCTATCCCCATGGTTTTTGAAGTCGTTAGGAGTTGGCCAGTCTCGGAGGTCCTTGGTGGAGCCGGCATGCCAGTATATCTGCGCATTGCGCCTCGGGAACAACTCGCGCGATGAAAGCTTTTCGCAGGGCAGAGACGTGTTCTTGTTATTGCTTACTCGATCATCCGTTTCCTCTTCGTCATGCTGCTTCTTCCACGCAATGTGTTGCTTGGCTTTTTGCAAATTTTCTTCTCTGAGGATCATGTATTCCGAGGCAGTTCGGGGGACACAAGGAGAATTAGCCATGCGCCTATATTTCATCTGCTCCATTCCCTTCTCGAACATTTTCATCTCTCCGTAGTCCTTGCTAGCCCAACTTTTGGAATTCGGATGCGCGACGGCTAGAGTTACCGGTTGCTGATGTGATCTGCCGAAATGGTTCCGATTCACTTCCTTCTTTCTATGAGCAGCAGGGCCAGTCGGAGCGTTGGGCGGTGGCCGACTGCCTTGGTTCTGTCCGCGAAATCGATCGGCTGCCGGCCCCTTAGGCGCATTGGCCGGAGGCCGGTTTGCTAGCGATCGTTTATAGGCATCTCGGTCAACGTCGGTATCGCCATCAAAATTTGAAGGTGAGGTAGGCCAAGATTCATGATGGGCTGAAATCGGAGAGCTGTCGTCCTGGTGGCGCTCGAAGACTGGCGCGGAGGCAGCGGCGATGGTGTCGGGATGACTCTGTGACTGGGTCATGACGACGTTGGTGTCCGGCAAGCACGCGATCGGATTGATATGGGCGACGCGACCTCGCACAAAGTCGGGGGCCAATGGTGTGATGTTGGGAAGGGAATCCGTATGGATAGGTGGTACCGCTGGGCGACTCCCTTCGTTCTACAAAGGCATGCCGAAGTTGGTGGATATTAATACGATAAGAAGCGAATATGTCGACTGCGAGGGGAAGAGGTGGCGAATAAGGATGGAATGGAACGTCGAGGTAAGTCAGCGCGCCGCGCAGAAAATTGATGGACAAAAAATGATGGTTACGATGAGAAAATCCGTCGGTGATGCGGGCGGATGCAGAGCGTTAGGTTGATGTTGCGAAGAAAGTTCGACGGAAACGTGGGGGTGTAGGCAGTGTACCTACCTGCGGACAGCCTCGCCGAGCGTCTACTTTATGCAAGGCAACTACGAGGCAAGAGGTCGTCACAAAGGTTACTGGCGAAGCGAGAAAAAAGCAGGTCCAGGACCGGTTAAACAACCTCTTCGACTCGGACCAAAGCCGACCTCAGGGTGAATATTGAACATTACCCAGAACACTGGACTATTCCGTACGTATTACCCCTGAGACTTTCCGAGCGAGACTTCCAGAATATTGATCAAACTCAATAGGACGCAGGAACTTGTCTCGACCTCCTGGTCCGCTTCGGCCAAACAAGGAAGACGACGATAAAGGAATTGCTCCATGAGCTGACCATATCCAGAACACGACCCAAAGACCAGCAAGACCCATTCAAAGCCACTTGTTTCTAGTCACAAAGGTACACGGAATACACTCTGTCTCTGGCATAAGTTGGGCGGCAACGGTCAGGAGGAGGTTGGATTTGGAAGCGCAATACAGATGATTACGGGCAACCTTGGAAATTCACACAACTCTTTTTGCGCACAGAATCGCGAACTTTCTAAATCTGGCTCGAGGGCAAGTTTTGTCTTTTCTGCTTGCAGATTCAGCAAGGTTGCGTAGGGGAAATCGTTAGGGAATTTGATCGAGGCTGGGGAACCGAGGCATGGAGAAGCCCATACCGACGTCGTCGACACGCGGCACCATTTTGCCTGGCCTTTCGAAGGTGCAAATGCTGTTTTCTAGGGTACGTGATCCCGATCAGTCAAGGTGCGGAAGTTGCTAAAGCCAGCGCAGTCCAGCCCCCAGGGCTAGGTGCTCTTTCCGCAATAGAGACACACTTTCCCGCACCTTCCTGCCTATCCATCATACCGGCAGCATACCTACTGGGAGCTTTCAGTCTCATTGTCAAGGTCATCATGAAGGCGCTCAGCCCAGCGACAGTCTTCGATGAGGCTGACATGTAGATCCCACACGGGGCGTCGTAGGCTCCACCGTCGAAGGCCACACCGAGATTTTTCGCCCTCTCGACCTCAGCTTTTGCTTCCAACTCCGTTACGACGTCTTTCCGCTGCAGTCTATCTAAACCAGTTACCAGCTAATTGACACTGTTTCTAATGTTCAAAACAGCCCCTATTCGTAACTTACGCCACTCTCATGAAATAGTGCGGTGGCTTTTGGGCTGGGCATGTATGAACTCGTTCTTTGGATTTATTTGTCTGCATATAATAGCTTATCTATATGAGTCTACAAACCTTTTTTTTTGTGTGCCTTTTGCAATGTTCACCGTGATCAATGAGGTCGCGATGCCCTCAAACCTTAGCAATTGGTTTAACGCATACATGTGTTAATTGAATAGGCGGGATAAGTGCGCTTTCGGTGCGACCCCACACAAGCCGAGGTGTCCATGCAACGGCCGTGCTTCAAGCACTGCATGGTTCCCAACGAATTCGAAGGCCCCCCTCCAGCTTCAAGACAATCCTTCAACCCTACCACAAGTGCAGCTCGTACACACCGCACTCCAACACTTCTGGGGGAAATTATCACCACAATGGCCGCCAAAATTACGCTCAAGTTGAGCAGTCGCTGTAAGTATTGTCTTTCTGTCTCCTGTTCTGAGCAATTCGCAGATTAGAAGCCCCCTTGTCTAAAAAAGAAAAATAAACTTACACGTACCAAATAGCTCCCAAGCAGCCCGTCAAGAAGCTCCCCGAGTCGATCGAGATCTCCCCCGACACCACCGTTGAGGATGTCAAGAAGCTCATCGCCCGTGAGACGGGCTTGGGCGATTTCAACCGCGTTGGTCTCTTCGACCCTGCCACGCAAAAGACTCTGAAGAACCGCAAGGCGCAGATTGGCACCGAGGCCGCCGTGATGTCCGCAGGTCAGGTTCTCGTCAAGGATCTCGGTATGTCGAAGCTTCACTACCTGCCCCCAAACCCCTCAATCGCTAACGAGTGGTTACAACAGGCCCCCAGATGGCATGGAGCACCGTCTTCGTTATCGAATACCTCGGCCCTCTCCTCATTCACGGTGCCTTCGTCGCCCTGCGCCCCTACATCTACTCTGGCGCCTCCAACAAGTCCCTCTCCCCGACCCAGCTTCTCGTCTTCGCCATGTTCCTCGGCCACTTCATGAAGCGCGAGTACGAGACCCTCTTCGTCCACAAGTTCTCCGCAAACACCATGCCCATGCGCAACATCTTCAAGAACTCCTTCTTCTACTGGGCCTTCTCCGGCCTCCTCTGCGCCTGGCACATCTACTCCCCGACTTCGCCCACCGCCCTCGCCCGCAACGACGCCGTTGACGTCCTCGGCACAATCGTCTTCCTCTTCGGCGAGGCCTCCAATGCCCTCGTCCACCTCAACCTCGCCAGCCTACGCTCCCGCGGCGGCACCGAGCGCCAGATCCCCCGCGGCTACGGCTTCTCCCTCGTCACCTGCCCCAACTACATGTTCGAGATCATCTCCTGGATTGGCGTCGTCATCGCCTCCCGCAGCTGGGCCGTCCTCCTGTTCATCGTCATCGGCGGCGTTCAGATGTCGCAGTGGGCCAAGGGCAAGGAGCGCGCCTACCGCAAGGAGTTCCCCGAGACCTACAAGAAGAAGAAGTTTGTCCTGCTGCCCGGCATCTTCTAAGCGCCTCATTAGGTGCGAGCCCGAACTATGGACAAAGCATGCCTGCCCTGGCCAGGTGATAATACTGGCGACCTGACGAAAAGTTATGAGATGTATTATGAAGTTCATACAAGACATATAGACCAATAATCCAGGCGCAAAGTCGTTACCGCTGCTTCCGCGTGTATCTCGTCTCGTTAAGTGTCATACGTCGTAAAGTGGTATCGTGTCCCGTTCAACCCAGCCTCAAAGCGTCGAAATAGAAGTCGTCTCAGAACCCTTCGCATTGCTCGATCCAGCCTCAGTAACACTCTGACTCGCCTCGGAGCAGTTCTCGTGGCTCCCATCCAGCTCCATCGCCCCCTCAACCTGCTTCCCCTTCCCCTTGCCCTCGTCGCCCTCTCCCATCCTCACATCCCCATCCTCGCTGCCGCTCCAGCTGCCGCTCCCACTCCAACTCCCGCTCCCGCGACTCTCACAGCTTCCCTCCCTAACCAACCGGAACGTCTCCTCCAGCACCAGGAAATCCCTCTCCAGCACCTCAGCCCAGTTCTGCACGTTCCCGAGCTCCTTCACCCGCCGTGCCGCGTCGACAGTGAACTTGGCCAGCTTGTCGTTCTCCTTGCGCAGCGCGTCCGTCGCCTTGACCACGTCGCGCTCCTGCTTGTCCAGCGCCGCCGCGTTGGAGTGCAGCATGCGCGCCCGCGTCTGCAGCTCCCCGTCGAGCATGTTGCCAATGGACGCTACCACCGCCGCGCGCGCCTCCGAGATGTGCTGCTGCTGGTCCTCGGAGGGCAGCGTCTGGTGGAGCTGCTGCTGCTGCGGCGCGGGGCCGGGAGGACCCCCAGAGACGGAGGTGTTGCTCGACTGCGACTGCTGCGGGCGCGCCGCGCTGGAGACGCTGAGGTGCTGGGATGTCGTCGCGGTGCTTGTTGACGATGCCGGAGCCGGCGCCGGCGGCGGTGCAGGGGTCCTCGCTGCGGAGGACGAGGATGAGGAGAACATAGTGCTGGGGTAGGTGGGCCGGTAGGAGGGACTTTTTTCCTTTCTTCTTGTTACTTCGCACGCGTCCGCGTTGGTAAGCAGAGATATCCGAAGTTGCCGTGCCGCGATATGTAAGCAAAGATGCGCGAAACGTCCCGGGTGGCTGGACGTTCGCGAGACAGGAGAGGAGGGGAGTTGGATCTAAAGTAGTCCTACCTATCTAGATCGGGTAACTCGCGGTGTGGACGAATCAGAGCTTGCGGGGGAGCTTTGGCTGACAAGTCCGCATGGTGGGGTCGTTCCTAGTGGGGCCGGGACCGTCCCGACGGTCCCTTGTGCGAGACGGTAGTCGGCCGGGCCCGGGCCCGAGGCCCGAACCCCAGCCTGAATCCCGCCTTTACGTAAGGGATCAGCTACACTACTTTATAGCTAGGCGCGCCTAGCACTTATAGCTAGATTAATTAAGCTACTTCACGTAGGTTATAAGCCCTCTAAATACCTAAATCTATCTACTAGATAGTGAGGTTATTCCTAAGTAGCTATTAAGACTCTAACTTTATAGTCTAATAATTACTATAGGGTAATTAATAAATTACTAAGCTACTAGAAGTAATATTTCTAAATAGAGGTTATAGCTATTATAATATATATCTCCTACTTATAAAATCTCCTTAGCCCCTAAGTTACTAAAATTAATAATTATTTAATAATTACTATAGTTATATAGTAATAATTACTTAATAAATATCTAATAATTATTTATAACTACTTCTTAAACTTCTCTTAAACTATTAAATTAATTAAACGAATTAATATATCTTTAATTAGTAATCTAACTCTATCTTTTTTTAGCTCTACTAGAAGGGGATTATTTTAGACTAACCCTCCCCTTTCTTCTACTATAGACCTTATAGCTAGAGTAGTTATATAGAAAGTAACTAGTAAAAGATTAGATCTAAGAAGTTTAATATATAATATTATTCCTAAGTTAATTAAAGCTATAAACTTTAAACTATAGGAGATTAATCTTAAGA